TTTGATATAATGAATTTAACTAACAATTTATTTCATGGTTTTGCTCGTGCGTCAGACCGGGTCACTCATATTTTTTGTAGTTTATTTCAAACCAAGTACATGTAATTTTGTCGTTATATTAATTACATGTCATTTTAATGTAAACCAAGTTAAGCGAGATCAAAACTTTGATGGTTAGGAATAACTTTATTTAAAACCATTAAGTTTAACAAACAATATTAGATGGTTGTGCTCATAAAATTTAACTAACAATTTATTACACGGTTTTGCTCATAAAATTTAACTAACAATTTATTTAGTTAAATATATTGTTAACTATATTAACATCCTCCGGTCGTTTCAAAACCAAATCGAGCCGATCGAGTCATTAAGCAACAAGGTTTTGCTCAAAATAATGCATTAAGAACAAAAGAGGCGTTGCGAGCGTGATACACGTTATTGTCATACACGCTGTGTGACTGTACGCGGCGTATGCTTGCGTCGGGCAGATGTGCACACCCTACCAAAACGTGACAAGGCGTCGGGTAGCGTCGCATAGCGTTGCATCGGTAAGTGTGGATAAGTGTGTTTTAGTTCGTGGTTGTGGGTTGTATGTACGACTATCTGTGATGCTAAAGCGTGACCCAACGGTTTTTACAAATGCCCAGCATTTATTCAGACAAATTCAGCATATCGAGTTTATATTACTTGATTACTGTTCGTGAATTTTTTATGTTTTTATTATCTATTTTTTCTCATAAATAAAAGTATTACGTTGCTTTAATAATGAATATATAAAAGTTACAAAAACATCGAACATCGATGGTTTGACGTGGATGTCCCATCCATAGACTCAGCCTCCTCTATTTACATGACCCATAGACTCATTCCGTTTGACCGGCACTTTTTACATCAGGAAATAAGGTTCACGGGCTTCCCACCTCAGGTTCAGGTAGCAGTGGGATCGGTTCAATTTGTCGTCACCCTTTTTCCATCTCAACAAAGACCTTAGATTAAAAGTATAATTTATTAAAATTAGTGAATAAGTTATATCGTCTTACTCCCAGTTTCGTTTATTTTGCCAATTTGCATTGAATCCACAACAATTTCCGATCCGTTGGATTCATTTCAAAACGAAATCGAGCCGATCGAGTCATTAAGTTGTGTAATTATTACAATCATCGCCAGTTATCTTTAAAACGATGTTAACTAAATATCCCTTCGACCTTCCTCTAAGCAAGCTGCAAGTTATACTTATCGGTCTTTTCAGATAAATATACCAGATAATCCATAAAAATGCACTAAGATCGAAAATAGGCCTTGTTTGAAATTTTTGAAATTACCGTACTTCTTTTAATGTAATTTAACCCAGATGTGTAATTTACAGTCAAATGTCATGCACCTTTTGGGTTATTTGTTTGAAGTGCAAACCTATTTGGTGATAATTGCTCTTTTCTATTTGTTTTATTACAATAAAATATTGCGTGATATGATTTTCTCTGTATGCATTTCTCGAGTAAAGCTTACATGTTTTCCATTAATTTTAATTAAAGCATCGAGTTGTCTTGTGTTTCTATCAAGTTTGCAACTTTGAAGGTAAAAATTATTTACACGTCTAAAGTTGATTTTCTTACACCGAACACATGTCACATCGAGCTCTGACTCGCCCTCGCCGCACTAAGTAAGGTTTAATTTATCCAAAAAATACTCTGGTTTTTAACCGACACAACTTGAGCAAGTTTGTAAATTTGTCCTCAAATCTTTCGAAGTGTGTAAATGATTGGAAACGTTGAAAACTTAATAACCCTTTTTGTCTACACATTTATTTTGATTGGATTTTTTCAAACATTGGTTGAGGTTTTGCATTTGCTTACGGGTCCTTGACGTCATTCAAATTTTCAGATTGACCTGCTTTTGGTAGTTCATGCTGTCTGTAGTTATGATCAAACCCAAAATAACACTTAACGAGTTAAATCATCAGGGGTATTTTCTTATCTTACAAATCACCACGATGTTTTGACATCCGATGCCTTTTTGTTTAAATTCTCATCCACTATAGAAAATATTTGTGCCATTTGTACACACAGCCCTGAGATATAGGCTCTCCTTATTGTTTGAAGAGGTTTTCTGCCTGCTCTTACTCCTCGACTTGTCGCCATTACAATTTATCTTTTTACATTGTAAACTGTTCAATTGTTTCAAGATGAATAACACGAAAATAATCTCGTCCGCGGGTTAAATCATGGGGAACATCCTGCCAACCCGACCACGCAACAACAGGTATGCAATTGCCTTAAAATGTGAAGAAGTATCAAAATCTCAGGACAAGGATGTTTAAACGAGTTAAATTAGTCTTTACAATATTCTAAACGCTATTAGCAATAACCAATGTTCAAAGTATTCCCTGGTCTATTCATTTTTTTAAGTTACCGCGTTATTATTTGTACATTTGTTAAATTTTTTCATGGATAATATATTATACAACATATTTTTTATAATCTATGGTGTATTGATACATTTTTTAACAATTCGTCAATCTTTTGATGTCTGAATGATTTCCATTTGTAGATAGGCAGCAACATCTCTGAGAAACTATGCTCAACCGTGATCTTCATTCTCTCAATTAATGGTCAAGCAGTAAACGGAATTCTTTTAAATCCTAACAAATCCCAGTACTATTAATTATTAATTTCCAAAAAGCATACCAAGGTCAACTCCAAGCTTACATGTGACCTTGTGAACTCTATTATTGAAAAGTTCTTCAAGCCTCCATATTCTTTGACACCTTAGCTTTTTCACTCCACAGAAAACTAAACTTCTTTATTAAATCCATAATAATTCATTTAATCTCTTACTGTATCACAATTTTTTCACTTTCCTTGGGCTCTTGATTGCTTCAACGCCTTCAAACTTCTCATCATTCCTTCATTAGATACTGTTATGATCATGCACGAAGAGATCATATTTCTTCCTTATGTGTGGTGGTTAGTGACCGTTAGTCGATGATTATTCACACACACACAGATCGTGAGATGCAGTCTGGTATGACGTAGGTTTTAGAAAAACATTTTCTTTATTGTGCCAACATTTCAATCTTTATTGAGATCATCTTGAGGGCTCAAAGTGTTGGTTTTCTGAGTAATTGTGTCATTCTTGTGTGTCATGTTGAGAGTGCCAGACACTTTGAGCCCTGAAGATGATCTCAATAAAGATCGAAAGGTTGCCACGATAAAGAAAATGTTTGTTCTAAAACCTACGTCACACCAGACTACATCTCACGATTTCTTCCTTGTATTAATGTCTTCAGCAATCTTATACCAAGCCTTCAACACTCCTCTAGAACTTTAGCCTTATCCTTCAGAAATTGTAAGACTATCGAATTTGTTTCCCTGGGAAGTACATTTTGCTTCTACTTGGCTTGTTTCATCTCCATGGCATCTAAGTTTTTAAAAACAACATGAATCTTCTCCCTTTCTTTGCTCTTCCTTTCTTTTCCCCTATTTCCTTTTATGTTCTTTATTTTTTGTCTCTTCTTTCTTAATGTGTTTCATCATTCGATTATAAATAATTAATATTTTAAAGAATATATTATTATCATTATTGTTTTGTATATTTTACTGACTACTGTTGTGTAAGCTCAAATCTGCATATGTACGTACATGTATACACACTCATGTGCAGAGTTGAGCCTATCACTTTTCACAGACTGCTGGCAATTCTAGCTTTTGACAATAATGAAACAAAAATGACAACAATAAACTACCACCAGGCCTCGAAGATCTCGTGTGTTGGCAGTCCGGGGTCAGACCTCGGTCTGCTCCATCCACCCACTAAGGTTTGGCCCTGGGTTCCGTTTACAGCTTGATCATTACAGCACCCAACACATGCAGTTCCTTAATCCAAACCCATTCACACTCTCACTCATTCTTTCCTATATTATATACCATTCACTCAATTAGGATGGTGGAGTACTGGATATTCCTCCATCACCCTTTACATGTGTTATATAATGAACCTAATTGAGGGTCGATGGAGTACTCGATATTTCGCCATAAGCCCTCTTATACTGCACATTCACGCCAATAAATACATTCAATCTCAACACACACTAGGTACTCAAAACTATCAGTACTATTTACAGTAAAACAAACCTATTTCCTCCAAAAATGAGAACAGAGGACCCAGATACTTGCTGCCTTGTCCAAGCATGATTATCATACCAGCTGGCATTCCTACACACTCTCTGTATGGAGCCAAGGAATTGCACCCTTCAATTGGTCGGCACATATCAAGCAGCCTTTGGCCCAACAGTAAGTGTTTGTGTGTCAGCCTCCCACGGCCTATCCTTAATTCGGTCAGAATGGCTTATTTTCTATGAGTCAGATCCTCCGACTGCAATCTCTTGTTACATGAGAGCTTCTTTGCCGATCCGGCCCACTGGTTCTCATGATCATTCATATTTTATTATTTGTTTTATTATTATTAGTATTATTGTACTAATGTTTATAAAACTAAATTTATTTCTAAGAAACATGTAAGATGGCTTAAAATCCTATTTATACCTTTAAAATAAATAAATAAATGCTCATATCTCTTAAAGTTAAAATCACAAATAAAACTCGAACCTACCTTGTTTAATGAAATGTAAAACCCATGGCACCGCCCGTTACTGCATAACAGTCTTAATCTTGACCTTTTTTGGTTGATTTAAAATTGTTTAAAAACTATTTTTTAGTACAGTTTTAAATGATGTTCACCTCTAAAATTACATCAACTTTCTATGGACATGACAGTGTCTGTTTTGTTGAAAATCCTTAAATAAACTTTTTTTTAAATAATGTTACAACACTCGTCTGTACATATTAACAAGTAATTAAGCGATAAATTAAGGTTAATAATAATATTTCTTTAATTGTATGCAGGATAAACAGTGTTTTTCTTCAGTAATTTACAGTTTCACTTATAGAATATAACCCTTTAATTGATGTGTATTTCAATTGTTTTATTTTCTCCCCAAACAGAGAGGAGTTTGAAGAAGAACCCTGCCCTCTTCCGAGCACACAGGCAGAAAATGGGGAATCTTCTCATGCCTCATCTTCACGCACAGCGGCTCCAGCTACTCGTAATTTCATTAAACCAGATGGCACGATTGATTATGATTGTGAGTGAAATTTTACTACTGCTTACAATTTTTTGTTAAACCAACCTCATGATGTTTTTGTTAAAAAAAAGGATTATTTGGAAGTTCCTTAAGTTTCAATCCCCTTAATTCATCTTAGATTCCAACCCACGACCCTTCTAGAGATGAGATGAAGGCATTATTATTTAGACCTCTTGCATCCTAATATTCATAGGATATGGATCATCATCACAATTGGTTATTAGATCTGCGCCCTCAGGGCAAAACTGGATAAATCAAATTTTCTCAAAATGAAATAAGATATTGCAGTAAATCTCTTTAGGACTGACAGACAGTACGATTTTCAAGTTGACAAAGAAACCATTTCCATTAAACATGATGCGCCTTTTTAAACATCTTGAAAAGTTGTGTCTACATTTTGATAATGATACTTATCATACCTATGGTCATAATGAATATTTGTCTAGGTGGGACAATTTATGTTTTTTATCTACTAGTATGTTGCATTTCTTTAGTTGGTAACTTGACTTATCAAATTTTACCCATAAATAACTGCATTAGTGGTACAATACCCTAAAATTGTGTTAGAAACCAGATAATTGTCATAATAATACACCAGAAGTCAAGGTGTAATTAAACAAATAAAAAAAAAAATTTGTAGGACAACTACATTGAATTTTATGAAATATGAGTACACTACTATAAAAGGGTACTGCAAAAATTTAATTTGTATCAAAGGTCTAAAAATTTTAATAACAGCCCTAAAAAGTGTTTTTTTTTGCTTTATCCAATTTTGCCCAAGGATGCAGAGATATTTTATGAAACCTAACCCTAGTAAATTAAACGCCTCTGAATTGCCAAACAAACCAATGACTTTTTAACTGGCTTTAGTTTGATCCTTTCCGAACGTTGTGGTCTGCCTGTAATTGTTTTGGCCTGTCAGGTGTGTTTTGACTTGTCGCCATCTTAAGGAGTCAGTTTTAACAAAATTATTATTAAAAACAACCATACAACCTGTGAAGATAGGCAGACCAAAATGATTCAAACCAACTTAACTACTCTATCACATGTTGTCCTGGTTTCCAACTTCAAACTTACATCCTATTTTTCAACGTATACTTGTGTTTTATTACCTGCTCCAGTGTATCTGCCAGATCTATCTTACTGCTTGATTCTACTTTAGTCGGGTAATCTGAACAGAGCTCAATCCCAATCAATTGGGATTAGCAAGATTCTACTAATTCACTGTTTAACCAAATGTCTGTCCTACCTGAACATGTTTCTGTCAGCATAGATAAAATGTTTTTGTTTAGAAAATATAATTGTCTGTGTAGTATTAATTGCCAGTTATTTTTGGCCCATTTCTAATTGCTGATTTTTGCCCTAATCCAAAAATTGTGATGTCTGCATGGTGATGAACCTGTGTTTGGCTTCACTGAACTGTGTGACTTTTAGTCTGTTTATCATTGTTCTGGTGTGACACATATTCTTACCATCTTTAGAGGTGAATTTTCACTAAAATGATTATCAAAAACTGTACAAGCCGAAACTACAAAGATAGGAAGACCAAAATAATCCAAAACGACAACTACACTACCTCCTCTGTCCTATGTTTTTCAAAACTTGCAGCGTATCTTTCAAGTGTGTACGTTGTGTCGAATGGTGTGTCTACCAGACCTGTCTTACTGCTCGTTTCTTCATTATGGGCTAATCGGAACAGGCTTGATCCCAATCAGTTTGGACAAGCAGGATTCTAGTTTACTTTATTCCAATTTTGTCCATTTCCTGAGGCTATATAATTTACTATGTTCAAATAATTCAGAGTCAAGAATGAAAATTTTTGAACTCAAATATTCTGAAAAAAGTTTTGTGGCTGCATCACTACACCTGTAAATCTGCCCTGAGGTTTTTCATTTTTCTTTCCTTTTTTATAAGCCAAATATTGTTTCTGATTAAAATTTGTATGCTTTTCTGTTTGTACTTATACTTTTATTACGACTTGTAAAGTAATTTGTGTCATACAGAAGGAGGAACTACCCATTGGGTGTGATAGAAGAGGATCTAATCACTTAACAGTACTTTCTCCATATAATTAATGCACAATTAAAAATCCATAGGCTGTACCAGGATATGAACTGAGAACCGCTAGCTTGGCAATTATAAGTTGGCCACCCAAACCACTCAGCCATTGTGGTCCCCTACTTCATTTTGGACAATAAAACACAAACATTTCCTAAGACACTAGGAAGAAAGAACATTGATTGATCTAATTTTTTATTTAGAGAATACATTTTTTAGTACTTTTAGAACTTAAATGTTTTTTAAATTGAGAAATTATATTTACGTGATTCTTTTAGTTCTTTCTCCCATCTAAACATCTCCAAACTGAATACAGGGTTTTATATATACATTTTTTTTCAGTGCTGTACGAGCCATCATCAGAAGACACCACAAACAGTAAGCTTTAAATATAAAAAGTATTATATTTTTAAGGAGGATTAACATTGATTTAAAATTACAGTATCTATGGAGTCACAAGGTTCAGTAGTGACACATCTCCTTTCCCAGGTTAAAATAGGGATGGATTTAACAAAAGTTGTTCTACCGACTTTCATTTTAGAGACTAGGTCTCTTTTAGAAATGTACGCAGACTACTTTGCACATCCTGATATGTTCATTAGGTAATTGGATATTGTTCATTGATCTTAAACACGTGTTTCTATGTTAAATTTTCCTTGTAGAATTGCAGACCTAGAAACAGAAAAAGACAGAATGGTTCAAGTAGTATTATGGTACTTGTGTTCATACCATGCTGGAAGGAAGAGTAGTGTTGCAAAAAAGCCTTACAATCCAATTTTGGGCGAATTCTTTCAGTGTCACTGGAATTTAGAGGATTATGAGGCGGACCCCAATGCACAATTAATTGAAGATGGTCCTGTCCCCTGGTGTAATGGAAACCAACTGACATTTATTGCAGAACAAGTTTCTCACCATCCGCCAAGTAAATTACAGTTATTCGTTATTCAATTTGTTATTACTAACCATTTTGTTTTTCCAGTTTCGGCTTTTTATGCAGAGCATTACAATAAAAGAATATCTTTTAACGCACATGTATGGACCAAATCCAAATTTCTGGGCCTTTCTATAGGTGTTCACAACATTGGTAGTGGAGTAATAAATGTTATCGATTATGACGAAAAGTACACAGTTACATTTCCCAATGGATATGGAAGGTAGTTTTGATTTTTTTTTTTTTTTAACAGAATTATTTGATATGTAATGAAAATGTGGTTTTACAGGTCCATTTTGACAGTGCCATGGATAGAATTAGGTGGTGTAGTGAATATAGCTTGCGAGAAAACTGGTTACAAAGCTGTTGTCGAATTCATTACTAAACCATTTTATGGCGGTAAAAAGCATAGAATAACTGGAGAAATATTTGCCCCGAATGAGAAAAAACCTTTCGTCACCATTACTGGAGAATGGAATGGTGTAATGGAAGCCAAATGGTCTGATGGTGTATGTAATGATACTATAAATAGAAGAAGTGAATTACAGAGATAATTAAAAATTATTTCAAATTCCAGCGATGTGAACCCTTTGCGGATGTTCATAAATTGACAATAATAAACAAAACTGTCCGTCCCATCGAATTTCAAGATGAGAATGAATCAAGAAGATTATGGAAAGAAGTGACAGCTGGATTAAGGTAGGATTTGCATAGTTTTATTTCCCATAAACAGATTAAAAAATGTCATTTTCACGTCTTGTAAAATAAGTCCGTAGTGTTTTTTTTTAAATAATTTAATTTTATCCAACTTATCTATAGAAGCAATATTTTTTGTCATTGTTTAAACACTGAAAAGCAATTAGTTTAGGACTCCCATCTGGCCTGAACCTTTTTGCATTGTACCAAATAGCTAAAAACCTAGATCCATCATGGATTAAGAATAAGTAAGTAGGAAAGTAATAAGACATAAATTATACTATGACTCACCAATCTTGTGGACACATGCTCAGCATAAACAAGCTACCCAAACATTGAAAACAACCCCGTCAATTGCTCATCAACTGCTAAACTTACTCCCATTAGAAATATTTATACAAGAAGAAACAAAGAAAAAGCTCTTTTAAGCTTCTGAAACAATCAAAGATGGGTACTAAACAAGGCAAAAAGGAGGGAAATTTGAAAGGTTGGTTGAGATGGGAAGTTAGTGTCCAAGTGGATTGAAGTCACGGTAGCTCAAGTGGTAGAGTAGCGGCGTATCTAGCTGAAGGTTGTGGGTTCCAATACCGCTCGTGACACTGTCATTTTTATCTCAACTAAAAACCTTAATTAATTGAAGAAAAAAAATCCTATAAAATCTGAACAGACTACAAAGGAGAAGAAGAGTTCAGGAGGAAATCAGGTACAATGATATGGAATACAGATGGCTCCAAAACTAATGAAGGAGCGTTTTCTGTACAAACCCAAAATATGATCAACTCATTAAGGGCAGACCTTTGTCTTTCAAGTTGAAATAGAAGCCATCGATGCTTGGCCTTAGAAAATTGTAAAAAAGGCACTGGAAAAAAAAACCAAGATCGGGTAGCTAAGCAGCTATTTAAAGCATAAGCATATAAAAGTTACATCAAAATTACTCAGTGAATGCATCCAAAATCTTCAAAACCTGAGGAACCACAACAACCTTGTACCCTTGGGTACCAGGACACAAGGGAATTTTGGATATTGAAAAGGCACACACTGGGCAGAGGAGGATCTGCAAGATCATATATAGGCCTACTCTTAACATAGCAAAAACAAATAGAATCCTCCATCATGGATCCAAAAAAGATAAAAAGAGGAGTGTATAAACTCTAGGGGCACTAGACATGATACACTTATAATAAAACAACCGTCATCAAGACTGGCAAACTCGCTGCTACAGTTAACGAGGACTAAACTCAGAGAAGTGATAGGTCTACAGGCTGCTGGCATCTGAGAAAACATCTACATAGCATGGGTATTCGATGAAGACCCCCATATATAGGTTGTGCAATGAGGAGGAAAAAACAACTACCCATATCATCTTTGAATGTGAAGCAACTGCTCAATGGAGATACAAAGAAAACACAGGGAAAGGAACTGTAGCAATGACAGTCAATGGCCTAGTATTCCTTAAAAGGGGCGGTAATACAGTAGGAAGTCTTGGACAAATTGCAAACCAGGTCTTATAAACAACTGTTCCATCTGCCTCACAATACTGATCATTATATAAAAATTGGGTGTGATCTTGAATCTCTTAGCATCCAAATTTTGATCATAAGCTGGCTAAGTAAAGCGCTAGCTGCAGATAAAAAATCGCTTCTGAAGAGATCTTTTGAATTTGTTTTGTTCACAACGAACTTTTCATCACCTCGTAAAGAATATTAAAATGCACAGGAAAGAAAAATATGAAAGGTTCACAGATAAAAGGCACCTGGTTCATATAATACAACTGTGCACAGGATTTAATAAAGAAAAATATGAAAGGTGCACATATTTAATTACTCTCAGTAAGTCAGGCAGTTGTCATAAAGGCACTAAATGCATATGCTTTCTCCAAACTTGTCTGGGAGTGCCTTATTGCGTAATGCCTCTAGAAAAACAAAACAACATTACCTTAAATTGGTTCTGAGCCATGAAGGTATAAAAGGAAATGAAGAGGCTTACCAACTATCCAAAAAAGGAGGGGCAGCCCTCTCACCCACGGGGCCAGAACGACAAATAGGTGCACTGGAGTGTGTACTTAAGTTGGAACTGAAAAAATGACTTGAGAAAGAAAAACTTAAGCACTGGACAAAATCACCAGGTATGCCAGGTATGAGGTAAGCTAAGAGATTTACCAGTCTCTCAAAAAGGAAGGCGAAGGAACTCCTCTCACTCGCTCAGCAGGCAGGATTTGAGTAAAATTATAGGCATCTATACTGGCCCTCTTAACTACACCTAACTGATGGACAAAGCGGAGAGAGAAACATGCCAACTCTGTCAGGAGGAACCAGAGCCATTGGCACATAGCCTTTTTGAATGTGAAGCATTAACCCGGTTGAGGTACAGGCACTTTGGCAAGGCAATTCTCACACCAAACGAGGTGCGCAAACAGGTACCGAGGAAAGTGCTTAGGCTTATAGGAAAACATGCATTATCCAAGGTATGGTTATAATTCATAAGGGTTCCACAATAAACTATATAGGGTGCAGTGGAGGAAAGGATTTTTTTTTAATCCTCATTTAACCCCCCAAAAACAAATAACAAATACTTGCCCCATGTGTCTTTGCATGTACTTATCCACCCACCTTATTTCCCTGATGTAACCTTCAGATCTTCACTTATTCTGGGCTATGCAATACTAACAAGGAGAAAGAAATAACTCGAGGGCTGCAGAATCCAAATTGAAGAGTTAATAACTTCAGACGTTCTGGGAGTAAAATTACAAAATTAGATGGAATACACAACAGGTAGTTAGTTGGTGAAACAAGTTGTTTATACATTTTGTAAAATTAAATTTGTTAACAATTACCTAAAATTTTCATTGAATTTTCCATAACAAAAACCTCTAGGGACTTATTTTATGACCCAATAGATTCTTTCTGCGATCGCGGTGAAAAGTGGGTTAGGTCAAAAATTATAAAAATCGAGTTAAGTTAAGTTAAGAAAATATCAAAAACCCTTTAGAAAGTTAAAATTGAGACATTCAGAAAATTTTATCCGCTATATAATTTATTAGAAGACCTATAAATATGATTATTTGAAAATTCAATTTTTGACCCACTTTTTTCACTGCAACCACTGATGTAACAATGATGGTTGCCTTATACATTTTTTATTTATTTATTTATTGTTAGGATGAACAATGTTGCCCAGGCATCAAACGCAAAATGTAATTTGGAACAAAAACAAAGATTAGAGGCTCAACAAAGAAAAACTCTCGGGCTAGCTTGGGAAACCAAGGTAATTTTGAATTGTATTCCTTCCTGTATTATTATTATTTTATTTTAAAACTCATTAACCTTTTATTTTCTCATTATAGCTATTTCAGCCTGGTGATGAAGATAACTGGGTTTTTATGAAGCCATTGGCTGACAGACTGAAAGCAAATGTCCGATAATACCTCCTCTGCAATTATTAAGTAAAGAAAATTTGTTTGTCTTTTCTAAAAAAAAAAGAAAAAAAAGAGGAATTCTGAGAACAAGACTAGATAGATAAAATGCAACCAAGTGTTGTTTATATATATTTTATTTATAAATGCTACCATTTTTATGATTAGAAGAATATTTGATTTTCCATATTACACCGCAAGTACTTTTCATCCAGTTTCAAATTGAATTTGAGCATTAATAAGCCGGTTGGAGGGAAAAAAAATTTGGCTATTTCCATATTTTAGGATTGCACAATAGCTAATTGTTTTATGTTTAAATTTTTATGAATAAATAACCATCCCATTAATAAATAACCCTAACCATCCCTAATTTTTATTAATAAATAAAGATCAAACTATCGTAAGGCACATAGTGAATGGGTTAGTAAATTACAAAAAGATGCATTCTTGATAATTTAGGTACTGTAAAAATTATATTAGGCTTAAACGGGATGTAATAGATAAAAATTGTAATATAAATTAATTATTAACAGTATTAAGCTAAAGGTTATTTAAAAAATCTTAATTTTTTTCAGAAGACTTCAAGAAGTTTAGTTTTATTATGATCATTAAATGGATTTGCTGGTGTATCTATCATTAAATAGTTTTTTTTTTTTTTTTTTTTTTTTTAACTGTCAAATAAATATTAGGTAACTTAAATGTAAAATAAAACTTTTTCCTTTAATTTAAATTGCAATTTAAGATATTGAATTTTTCGAAAATTGTTGATATGTAGGATTCCTAGGTATATAGTTGATACAAAATTTATTTGTATATTATGTGATAGATTATACTGATAAAAAATTTGACATTGGTATTATAATTTAAAAGTCGTAAAACTTTACCCCTGATTGGTCCAAGATTTAACGATACACGCTGGCTTTGCAGCCTGCTAGAATGAGTATCACTTTTAATTTTTTTTTTTCTGTTTGTACAGCAACAAGTGGAAGGAAATAAAGAAGCTTGGGACAGAGTCAGTTAATACAAACCACCTCAAATCAACACAATTCTCCTCTATCCCATGTGAATTGAAAATAAACTGTCAAAGCGGAAAGGAAAAGTAATGTCAGTTAAATTTCTGCAAGGTACAATTCGCGTTGTATTTTTAGAAAAGCTTCTTGGAGTCTTGTGGAATCATGTAAACCAATTCATTCCAATGAAATACATAACATATTTTGAAATTCCATACGAGTTCCATTTCAGTTTTGTCATTATTATTATTATTATTTATTATTATTATTATTATTTATTATTATTATAATTTTAGCCATCCCTTTGAACAAGCATGGATTACTTGCATTATAATAATGCTGTTTTAATTTTTAGATTTTCACGAGGCCATTTGCTTTGTGTGAAATGACTGAGTATTGTAAATTTCATCTTCAAACACATCTTATTTCTCCACACAGATATTCAACTATGTTTAGCTTTTATGTTACAGTTTAAATAAATATTCATTGTTTTTGAAATGAAAATTACAAACTCAACAAGATTAGATAAACATGGCACAATTTACCGAGTTGTGTAAACTTAACACACTAAATTAAATAAAAAAATTTGTTATAAATTAACAATTAATATATCTATATTGCATACATATTATGTAAAAAATTACTGCAACTGTGTGTGTTTATATATATATTTAGAATAATATATATAATCAATTTAGATAATACCTAAAACATATGTACAAACAAATTTGTAAAAAAAAGTCATCGAGTTGCCTATTGGAAAATTTCAAAATTTGTTGGGGGGGGACATAAATTTGAAAAAATTCTGCACTTTGTGAAAAAAGTGACGTTTGCATTGATTTTTTTTTCTTTGGCGTTTTTGCATGAACATGTTTGCTGTTCAAAAGTTGTCTAAGGTCCTTAGTCGCAGTAGCATGGAAAAAATCAAAAACTGTACATTTTAGAAAATGATTTCCTATATAACTTGAATTGTAAATAGTGTAAAATTGAAACATTGAGCATTCAGCGTTATTATTTTGCCTTTTATGTAAATTAAATAGAATATCAAATTATTATAACAATTACGTTTTTTTACTTAAAAAAGTGTCAACTTTATAAGCTGTGATAACAAAACCTTGAAAAAAAAAAAAAAAAACTTGGTTTGTCTATATAAGCACTGTTGAAAAATTCAACTTGCCCCAGTTTCAATTTCATGTTGAAAAATCGTTAATCAATTTTTGAAAGTTCAAAATTCACATTTCTACCATTATTTATAAATCGAAAGGGATGTTTTAAAAAATTTGTTGTTTTTGCAATATCCACACAATAATTTAATAAGGCAAAGAATGTCTGAATGAGTTAGTCAGGATTAAATAACTCAGAAAGAGCAATAAAAACCTAATCTCTATTATGTGTATTATTTATACTAAAAGAAAAGAACTTATATTAATTTCAGTGCCTTTTTCATTGCCTCGTATTGTACAACTGTTTGTGAATACCCTGTTAAACGAGATCATAGTTGTCTTCCACACTTCTTTTAACCAATAATATGGCCTTTAATTAAACCTTTTTTGCCTTGCCAAGTTATTAAATATGTTTACTCATTTCAAAAATATTAAACTGTATAAGAGCAATAATTTTTTTGGGATGGACTAGTTTTTCCAAATGAAATCGGTCATTCTTTTAACATGAAATAACAATACATTTAATTAACAATTTGACAATGAAAAGATATATTTTTGTCGCCTTTTACATTTTAACCCTTTTTATTCTATTTATTATTAAGAAATAATCTATTTTTAATAATAATGGATAAATAGGATAAAATATTTAAAAAATACAATATTTCTTTTGTTCAGCTAAGTAGCATTTTTTACGTTTTAAATTTCATTTCAGTATGCTAATTTTGGTTACTAGCTTAAGTTTATAAAAAACTTTGTGTGTGCCTTTTCTTTTACAAAGTAAATCTACTTTTTGCCTGATTTTCCTTTTAACTAAATATTACTTAAAGAATTGTACTAGGTTGAGGTGATTTTTATTTACTTTTACAATTGATGATCAGAAAAATTATAATTTAAGCTAAGTTTTGAAAAGAAGTAATTTAATTCCCCCTCCCATGTTTAAGTTGAAACTATAAATTTATTGTTTAACCAGCACTGGGTGTACCCCTTGTATTATTTTTTCCCACTTCTGCATTTCAGGTTTGTGCCATCTTCAGTGAAGAAATAAAGGTGGCACAAAGCCAAAAAGCATTCTAGTAAAACAAAAGCGACTAGGCAGGCCCTCGCAATTATAAAAAACAATAGAAATTCTCATTTTGATTACATTTTACAGGCTAGAATAACATTTTTTATAGTTTCATATTCTTATTAATAAAAATTATATTATTTTATACTCGGGTTATGATGAATTTTAATGTACATCTTTATGAATAATTAGAATTGCATGTAATATTGAATATTAAATTATTAAGGGAAGATGAATATTTATACTAAACAATGAGCCAAACTATTTTAGAGCATATAGTCATGTCTTTGTGACATGTTGATAGTCCTTCTAGTTAATAGTTATTTAGTTTATTCGTATTAATCATAGCAACATAGTAACTTCAATCTTAAAAATAAGCATGCCTTTGTGCCTATTGAGATTTACTGTTATAGCGCCTTAAATCGTGTAAACACATTAAAAAATGTAATTTTAAAAAATCCAGTACCTGATTTTACAAAAGATTAGTGATATAAACAAAAATATGTTTATATAATTCCTGGTAATGTTATTTTAAATCATTTGTAGGACAGCTATTTTTCGTTCAAAGGATGCGGTACAAAATAAATATCTTTAAATATTTTATGAATGTTTTTTTCTAAAAATTGACAATCTACTTTTTTTGGCAAAACTGTTCGTACAAAAGTTATCTTTTACTAAGTAGATATTTTAAAATAGGTAATTATCTTAGTCTCAATGGGAAAAAAAAGTACTACTAGTGATTATTGCACACTGATGTTGAAGAATTTGCTGAACAAAAGTAAAAATAATTTAAAATATGTGAATAATAAGTCAAAAGAAAAAGTGATATTATTTTAATCCCGATCAAGTTCCTAAAAAGCTTTCTACATGAAACAACAGACAACGCATTGAACAGTAAACAGGGATGAAACTTCTTTAGAATGTAACAATATGAACATGCCACAATCTAATAATCCTATAATCACAATATCTACCCATGAACACTGGATGTGAATGCTGAAAACAATATTTCTAGCGTGTAAAGATTGTCCATTTAATTTGTCATATCATTTGTAATTGTTATTATTATTATTGAGGTGTATATATGGTAAATATGTATATTGGTTTTGTGTATATAATCTAAATTGTTTGTTTCATATCATTCCTTCCCAAAGTTTTATAAAATGTCACATGGCTTGTGCCTTACTTGAGCTAACAATGTAAATACATGCTTCATATTATATTACAAAAGAATTACAGATTTTGAAATATGATTTTTTAAAGATGTACTGTATGTTTCCTTTTCTGTTCCTTACTTTCTCTTAGTACATATGAAATAATTATATGTATAATAATCCTCTACATATAATCAGTTTGCTTTTATAGCTTAGGTAATACAAAAGTACAAAATTATTATTTTTCATTTGTCCATTTCATTTGAGGGAGGAGAATAGGTACGCAGATAAAATATAAAATTTTAATGGAGATATTAAGTTGTTTATTTTTAATGTCCTTCCATTGCTGGAACTCACAGTGCTGATTGATAAACAAAGTTATATTGGGAAATAGGAAGGATTTGATCAATAGTGATCATATCTAGTCAATTTTACTCATCATTGCTTGCACATTTTGCATAACTCTTCATATTACAACTTGCTTTTATTATTTAAAATTTATTTTCTTTTATCTTCGCGCTGTCATGTTAATTGCAGGACTACAAGTAATTTATTATAGAAATTGAATGATAATAAAATAAATAAATAGAGATAAATTACTTTGGGGGGGGGGAATTGTAACGAGGTTCTGACCACGCTTTCAGGACACCGAACATGAACTGTAAGCCCTCTGGATTAACATTCTGGAAAAATCCAAGACATGTTTCGAAACAAAAAATCTGGAGGATCAAGGTCTGGAATAAACAGTGGTGTTGAAGGAATTGGATGAATATCTTATGACTTTTCCTTGGTTGGGAAGTGTGGGACTTAAGTGTCTATCTAGCTGTGACAGAACCACATTCTACAAAAGCAAGAAATGCTGTGACAGTTTCTCGAACAATCTTTTAAAGTGGAATTTTGGGCTGGTTATACCATTTTTTGCGTGATCATGTTTGAAGATTAGGTTAGATAGGGTGAGGGTTAGACAGACTAGGTAGTGTTACTGTTAGTATTAGGGATGAATAGTTTAAACAGGGTTAGGGTGGTAGTGAAAGGAATTAAATCACATTAAGATCTTCTGATTTTTATGTAAACATAAAACTGTGTGAACGAGTGTTATTTTGCTGCTGCTGAACTCTCCGGTTAACAAAAGTGGCAAACGTGATGTGCTTTTGGTCTGAATACACTAAATGTTTTGTGTAATCGATTTCGTGTTAAGTTAGGATCAAGGTTAGGGTTGAGGACGTATAGGCTTTGTTAGGGTTAAGGTTATTGTCAAAGTCGGGTTAGGCAGGTAGTGTTATGGAAAATATGTGTTTGTGGGTTGGATACACAATTTTTTTGCGTAATCGATTTCGGGTTAGGTTATGTAAGGTCATGGTGGGGTTAAGGTTAAGGACGTGTAGGTTTGGTTAGATTAGGCAGGGATAGGGTTACTGTTAGGGACGGGTTAGGTTATGTAAGGTCATGGTGGGGTTAAGGTTAAGGACGTGTAGGTTTGGTTAGATTAGGTAGGGATAGGGTTACTGTTAGGGACGGGTTAGGTTATGTAGTGGTAGGGCTAGAGTTAAGGGCAATACGTTTACACGGATGTGCTTTTGGTTTTGTTTAATCCATCTATTGTATTATTAACTTGTACGGGACCGTAGTGGTGGAGTGGTTAGAGCCTCCGACTCTTATTGTTCTATTAGACAACTATAGATTTTACAACTACATTAAATTTAATTCAATTAATTAAGGTTTTTTAAGTTGAGATAAAAAAGTCAGTGTCACGAGCGGGATTCGAACCCACGACCTTCGGCTTGATACGCCGCTACTCTACCACTTGAGCTATCGTGACCTCATCGTGAGGTCGAATCCCGCTCGTAACACTGACTTTTTTATCTCAACTTAAAAAACCTTAATTAATTGAATGTTCTTAATTGGTCAAGCGGACCACTAAAAATAGTGAATTAAATTTAATGCAATATGAGCACAATAAAAAAAATTACTTTAAAAAATTGATAGTTATTCAGATATCGTGAGATGCGGTCGGGTGTGATATAGGTTTCAGAAAAACATTTTCTTTATCGTGCNCAAAAAAAGATCGAAACGTTGGCACGATAAAGAAAATGTTTTTCTGAAACCTACATCACACCCGACCGCATCTCACGATATCTGAATAACGGTCACTAATCTCTACACATTAAAAAATTGAATTTATACCAAAGGTATTTTGTATACTTTCAAATCAGAACCCTCAAAAGTTTGGTTTTTGTCCAGCATATCATCGTCATTAAGGTTTGTCGCCATTTTCCGTGGTGGGTTTTACCTAAAATTATTATTAAAAACCCTAAAAGCCAAAAATGCGGAGATAGGCAAACCAAAATGATCCAAAACGACTTCTATCTTTTAATCCTTCAGCAGCACGTATCTTCCGGGAGCTGGGCTGACCGTAAAGCCCTCTCTATCATCTCCCATCCCCAGAAACCTCCACGTCCCTTTAACCCTCAGCAGCGAGAGTTTTTCTTTGCTGGTTTCCCAAGACATGTTTCCCCCGGGAGTAGGCGTTGAGATTGACCGTGTGAAAACCACAAGAATAAATATTTCAATATGCATGAATACAGGATACAAATAAAAAAAACTGCAATAATTTTTATTGACGGATGAATCACAGGTGATGAAAATTGTTGAGTTATTAATCTAATTGCGAGTTTTTCTAAAAATACTACGAGAGATTGTGGAGTGTTTTAGTAAGCAGAGATTGTAATAAAAACATCATAGTTTTAATGCATTTTGCGATTTTTTTCTTGACATTGATTTGGTTTCCGCTATCCAGTTAGATATCCAGTGAAATTATGAATAGATTGGGCTTAAGAATCTACTACGAACTTCGTTTTTTCCCCTTTTACCGAGGATTTTGCTATTCCACACGTAAGAATGGCACGACGTTCGTGTGAATTTATACATAAGCGCCTCTGGTATAATTTGAGGGATCCACCACTTTTACTCGTACCTCACAACTTTCTCCACCCAGGGTTGAGGTCATATTCTCTCGATGGGGGAACGCTTTCTTGCCAGCCGGCTCCTCGGAAACCGTGAAAGTAATAAGAATTGTTCTTGGCCCGTCGAACTAATCGGTTGTATTTACCTGGAGTTAGAATAATGATATACTCGTTTGAAAATTGGCCAGTTGGTTGTATAAACTATTGTAAATAATAGTGCAGAGATTTTAAAATCATTCGAATATTTTATAATATTATAAATTATAATATTTCATTGTTAGTGATTGCAGTAGTTTGATCTGGTCTAATTTTAATAAAAACCACTCGTATCAAAAACCAGTATTTTTACTACTCACTACTATACATACATTAACATCACTCTACAACATAACTGGTAATAATAAAACACTCATTAACCCCCAAGACCCAATCCGGGTTCTCCTATCAGTCGCAACCACTACGTCACATCTCGCAACATCCCCCCTTTTAAAGATCTAGTCTTTTTGGACACCTAATTTTCCATCCATATCTGCTCACGACTTGTGGTGGTGTTTCAGCTGCAGGTGTTGTCCCTGGGGATATAGGTGGCATTTCTTTTGGGTCGTCGTCCTTTCGTACTCCAGTTGTTGATGATATTGCTTGGCCAAGTGTAGACTCATCTCTTCCTGGTTCCTGGACTTCTCCACTTGCCTGGGTAGTAGGAGTATAAGGCAGACTCTGATTATGATGGGAATACGGAATTAAATGGACCCGGTTTCTCCTCACCGTCCTTTTATCTGTCTCTACAATGTAAGATCGCGGTTCCTTGGCTGGAGTGATAATAATACCTGGTCTTTTTAAGTCGGTTATCCAGACTTTGTCTCCAATGTCGAACGGATCCAATGGGTGTACCCCATGTCTTTCGTCGTAATTCTGTTTGTATTTCTGCCTGTACTGTTCTTCTTTTACTCGAAGGAGTGTCGTATCCGGTTTTTTATCGAGATGCTGAGCTAAGCGTGGTAATGTATCTCGCAGTTTCCTACCCATGGAAAGTTCAGCTGGTGAGAATCCGTTAGGGAGTGGCGAGTTCCTGTAAGCCAAAAGCGCTAGGTAAGGATCATCTTGATTTTTCTTGAGTAAGGATTTGGCTATTTTCACGGCTGCTTCTGCACTGCCATTGCTTTGATGAAAATGTGGACTGCTGGTTCTGAACTGAAAATTGTAATCCCGAGAAAATTGTATGAATTCTGAGTTTTCTTTAAGACTAAACTGGGTGCCTGAATCCGATCTTATTTCCAAAGGTATACCATGTCTGGAGAAAGTTGCCTTGCACTTATCTATAACTTCCTTTGCTGATAGAGTTTGTAAGGTGGCTATTTCAAGGTAACGAGAGTAACAGTCAGTTATTGCTAAGAACCATTTGTCTTCAAGTTTGAATAAATCTATTGCTGCTTTTTCCCAAGGTCTTAAGGGGAATTCTGCGGGCAATAATGGTTCATTCCTGTTCACTCTATGCTCGATGCATTTCTGGCAAAACCTCACTTCTTTATCTATGTCGGAGGAAATGCCAGGCCACCAGACACAGCCTTGTGCTCTTAATCGACATTTTGAGACTCCAAAATGGCCAGCATGGATACGCTGTAGTATGTTTTGTCTAAGTTGAATTGGCACAATAAGTCTCTCTCCTCGCACAAGTAGTCCATTCACTGTAGAGATTTCATCCTTTACTGGGAAATAAGGTCGAAGGTGAGGTGAGATTAAATCTCTGGAAGGCCATCCTTCTCTTGTATATTCGGCTAGAGTTTTAAAAATTGGGCCATTTTCTTGTGATCGACGAATCATCTCAATGTTTTTGTCTGTTGTTTGAATGGAAGAGACTATTGCCTGGACATATGCACCGATTTCCTCGTTCAGGTCATACTCTTCTCGCTCATCCAGTGGACTCCGTGAAAGGCAATCAGGTGCTGCCAGGTGTTTCCCAGGAGTGTAGGACATTGTATATGGGTACCTCATCATTCTAAGCCTGAGCCTTTGAAGTCTTGGAGTCAAATCATCTAAGTTTTTTGTTGTCAATATCCGGAGAAGTGGTTTGTGGTCAGTTTCTACTTCTATAGTCTTCCCGATAATGTATTCCTTCAACTTGTCGCAGCACCATGCTACTGCCAGCGCTTCACGTTCGATATTTGAATAGTTCTGTTCGGTATCTGAGAGCATTCGAGAAATGTATGATACTGGTTGCCACTCGCCCTTTTTTTGCTGCTGCAAAAGGACACCTCCTAGCCCATAGGATGTAGAGTCAGCAGATACTCTTGTTGGCAGTTCTGGATCATAGAAGGCTAGTAGGGGTGCCTCAGTTAAGTCCTTTTTGATTCTCTCAAAAGCCGTTTTCTGTTGTGGTCCCCAAGTCCACTCATTAACCGCCAAGACCCAATCCGGGTTCTCCTATCAGTCTCAACCACTACGTCACATCTCGCAACAAATTGTAATTGTGCACAAGTGTTGTCATGTTTATTGTTGTAATTAATATAAAATTTGTTGCGTAATTATTGAATAATCTTCTTTGATTAGTATAGCAATATGGTAATGAAATAATATTGACTAAAAATATTCACAGGAGACTCGAGAGGTGCTATGCTCTTTACTCGTTGTCTTGAGAGAAGTTAGGCGTGAAGACATACACAAATTATGCTTCCTTGTAGCACGCCGGGTTTGACAGATTTTATTGTGGAGGTTGGATCATTAATTGACAGGGAAAAGGATCTGTAGATAAATTATTTAATTACCCTATACCAATTATATATCAGGTACGATTTAAGATCTGCCATTAGGACGACATTCCATACCTTATCGAACGCCATTTCTATGTCTAAAATAGCCTAGCACATAGTTCTCTTTATTTTTCAATTCTTACACATATCACGAGGAACGCGGTTGGGCGAGAGGTTTAGGCGTCTGACTGGCATTTGCCACGCTAGTGGTTTTGGGTTTGATGCTTGGCATAGCCCATAGAATTTTAATTGAAAATAATATGAAAAACGTATAGTAAAGTTGTTCTGACCCCTCGTCCACGACACCCAACGTAGTTGGACGTTAAGCCAAGCCCTCCTTTATGACAGGAATTACTTTACTTAATTTCTATATAACTGTTAAAATGCCTATGAAAGGGAGGAATATTTGCCGACCGAAGTTTGAAATTGGTAAAATCACGTTTTTAGGATTTTTGATGACCATTTTTGTATCATCAATTTCGCGTTACCAGGGAGTGGGCATGGGTTGGGTTAGGTTAGGGATCGTTAAGTTAGGTAGGGTTAGGTCATGGTTAGGTTAATTTTATTCAACTAAACTGAAATGTAACCAGTGTCTCATTATTTGAACAGGAACCAACCGGAAAAAAACCCAGACATAATCCACCAAATGGACCGATAATCAAACAAAGCGCCGAGAACGCACCCCACTCCCACAACCTTATAAAAGAAACTTGACTGAACCGAATCTCACAGACCAACCCAGCGAGTATAGACAGGTTAAATTAAAGATTCAGACAGGTATACGTAAAATAATTCCACCCTAACCCTTACCTTTTTTCCAATCGCTGTTGGTTTTTCTATAAATAACCCTTACGTTTGTATTAATACAATTCCGATCCCTGTAATTTAAAGAGCTAAATGCAATTGAGTAATATCGATATGTAATTTTAAGTTTTAGATGAGGGTTAGGCTTAGGTTAAGTTAGGAATGGCTAGGTTAGGTTGGGTTAGTGGTAGGGTTATGTGAAATTAGGAATGGCTACGTAGGGTTAGAGTTAGAGTTAGAGTTATGTCAAGTTAGGGATGGTTAGTTTAGTTAGGGTTGTGTGTATTAAGACAACATTGAACGTTGTAATTGGTTAGGTTGGGTTGGGCTAGAATTAGGGTTACATCAGTTCAGGTGATGGCCTCATGAGCTCATTGAGTGACAACAGTGTAAAGCCTTGATATATGAAACAACGAGGCACGTTTCCTTGCTTGCAAGGCAAATCCCGAGCCTATTCTCCAAAGTATGCGTTAAGTCAGGGGTTAAATGTCTGCGAAAGGCCAAAACATATTCTAACCAAATTTAAACGCAAGAAAACTGATGGTCTATGGCTGAAGTCATTAACTATTCCTTTTTCCTAGAGGTGAATCGCCTCCACCCTAGAGAATTGAAATTGACTTTCATACGTCAAAACCGTAGACTGCTAGAAGCAAACGATTTTCAGTTGCACTCTCATCTCAGCAAGAGTAAATAACAATATTAACAGGTACGTATCAAGTATCCCGTGTGAAAATCGAATTTGTTTCCCACAAGATACAATAGGTGAGAAGAAAATCGGCCATTTCAAAATTACCTTATTTTTCGTCGATTTTCCGATTGAAACTAAGCGAGGAAAAATAATTGCATAAATGCACTTCATATGCTCCAGTTATTTTCGTGGGTATCGGAACATTCGACCTTATACCGTTTTCACAACTATACCTTTTGTCATTCTATTTTGTCAAAACATCTAATCAACGTTTTTACACTATGAATGTTACTTGCCAGTTATATCACACTGATTCTTCTTGTGACGACATCCTACAAAGACTTAGTTGCAAAACGAGATGGCTGTCGTTCGTTCACAGTGGCTGTGGACTATTCTCGGAAAACAATTGTAATATTGATTTTTCTTGTAACGCGCAGTCAATGGAGACAAGAATGCACTGTGAAAAACGACTAGATTTTTCCTTCTTAAATCTATCTAATTTCGTACTATTTTTAATAATATAATACCCGACTAAATTCGATTAATTGAATAATCCTTTGGACGTTTCTTGATCTAATCCCTTAAAAGTTATAAATGTCCTCTCTTAATTTTTGTGGCTTTTAAAAATGGGCAAATTTTTCTTTCCATCCTTTAAATAGATTAGCAGCAATACGGACAATGCATAGCTGAAGTCACAACCAAAATGACAAAGGAGTCTTAATTTTTCTCTCACACTTTTCCCCTTCACATACACGTTTCCCTAATTCTTGTCAGGGTTTTGAGTGATTGTGCCAAATTGTTACTGTTTAGATTTTTACATACAACATCAATGTTGTATTCATCACGATCAAGATCATCAAGTTGTTCGTTGTTTTGGAATTTGTTCCAATCAGCTTTATGTAGTTGCCAGCTGCTATGTTTGGAGTTTAGGTTGTTTTTAATTGTTGATTGGATGAGGATAGGGAAACGATCTCTGCCAAGTCCCGTGAGAGTGCTTCCAGTGCCGAGCCAGTGAGGGTGTACCAAGTAAATTAAGGCTGAAGTGCGGGACTGACAATACTGAGATCAATTCTCGAAAAAGTGCCCGACCGGGCACAGAAATGGGTGGCACTTCTTGAATTTACGATGTTAAGGTGGTTTTTGTCAATAAGGTTTCTAAGTTACGGCCATTGTGGGTTGTATAATCCCCGTATCAAAGAAACTTATGTGCATTGAAATCCCCAAGCAATATTACCGGGGGAGGGAGTTGGAGGAAAAGATCTTCACGTTCATCAGATATAAATTTCGTTGTGGTTGAATTTAAATAGAACATATAGTCATACGTTTAGGAAAGAGGCAGCGATAACTTGAAGATGGGAAGATAAGGACAGACCTTGAAAGGTGACGGTGTTTATAATCAAGAGGCCACACCACCATAAGCAATTTTGTCTGAGAAACCATCTTTTCTAATTTTTTCATAATTGCGTAGTGTAAAGCTATCAGTGTTAAGGCGGGTTTTTTGAATACTTTCAACAGATAGGTCAAATTCATTAATTAAATATTGTAAATCATTACGGTGAAAGTTTAAGCCACAAATATTCCATTGAAGAAAGTGAAGATGCTACATGTAGTGGTAGGATTAAGTATTGGGTTGTGGCAAAAGGGTTTGTAGCGGTCTAAATAAAGAATTAACTTAAAAATGTAATATACGACAAAAACAATTACTTATTTATTGGGTTACAATTGGCAATTAGATGAACTGTGCACAGTTAATAACATACAAAAGAATAGGAAAAACAATAAAAAATTATCACCATGAATGTCGTCGAGTAACGTGTTCCTTGTTCTCCAGTGTTTCTATAGGCTTATACACCTCACCTCTAGTGAAGAGGTCAATCCTCAAAACGAGATGGAAAACGTACTCGGCGCCCGTAGCAGGTCTGATGAGGAAGGCATTTTGATGTTGATGCTGGGACGCCGGGTGTTGATGGTTCTGGAGGGTTTTCTGTGTCTATCTGTAGGTAGGCAGGTTTATGTCGGTCGATGGTTACTCTTCTGGTCGAACCTCTGACGCTTATGTCAAAAAACTTCCTTTTCACCACAAGGAAGGGTACTTGGTCGATTCATAAGAAAACGTGAAAACATTTCCGCAAATCTGGGTGTTCTTAGGTCTTCGTTGAACCGTGGTAACTAGGATTTGAGGGCTTTAATCGTCGCATGCTTTCCTGGAGATCCTTCGCAAACTGATAGCGATCCTGCGGATCTGGTTGGTTGAACCGGGCAAACGTAAGGAGCACCATAAACCATTGAAATTATTAATAATATCGGTTTTAATTTTACTGTTTTACTTTTCTGTATTTTAAATGTATTTAGAATGGAAAGAATTGTTTTACATGATATATAACTAGTTATTTTGCTTTGTACCACTTGTTTTTGGTGTTTTGACCTTGTTTTCGTGAGATAATTTAAATTTGAGCCTTGTGAAAGTGGGCGTTTACAGCTAATTTTGTCCAGGTTTAGGGTTGATTTTGAAATATTTACCTCGGGTGTTTTGGGTTGATTCCTATTAACTGTTTGTAGGAGTTGACAGTTGCAGGGATGCAATTAGTCGAGGATTATTGGAGCTAGTGTGAACAGTAAGCAAAAGATCGCTCATGTGCATTGAGGTGATTGAGATGTTAGGTACTTTTCTGGAAGAAAGTGCACAAGTTTTGAAAGCTTAGCAGCGTCTTCGGCGAGGATTCAATTTTAAGAATTTGGGAGGAGAGGTTCGGGGGGAAGAGGATTGAGGAACAAACGAAAATGATTGAATGAGGGAAGGAAGATTATGGATAGGAGAATGAAGCTATTTTGGAATATAGAGGTTTTTGTCTTTCTTGACGGGAAATTCGTTGTTTATAAAGGATTTCAGTCTGTTTAAAAGAAACTTTCTGTTTTTCGAATGTTTTAAATTTTCTTTTCAGCAATACGGGGCATTGATGGTTAAAAGCCGGGTGAGATCCAGAATAGTGTATACAATGGGATGAATTTGAACATTTAGAGATTCGTTCCCCCACAATTTCCGCAATTTTTGGTTTTATAGTTTTTAATTAAATGGCGATACCTGAAGCATGAGAAAATCGGGTTAGGGGAAAAGGGCACCCTCTGATCTTGAAGGAAGTCAAGAATTATTTTTTCAGGAAAGTCATGTTTTTGGAAAGTAA